AAACGTGTTACTTACTCTCGCGATTACTTAAAATGTTTTCAACTGGACCATTTATGAGTTTATAATAACCTTAAGAAAAAGCATCATGGTGGGTGGCAAAGATCCTTAAAGTGTACTCCAATGCATCAGATGACTGTTCCTGTGATTATGAGCACTAATTGCAGGTCATTATCGAACAAGATTAATCACTTGGATTCTCTATTATATTCAAATATTTATCGTAATACCAGTGTAATAACGCTTCAGGAAACTTGGCTACACGGCTCACATGATGATAATTTAATCTTAATAAATGGTTTCAATATGTACAGACAAGACCGAAGTAGTTCAAGGAAGAAGCGAGACGGTGGTGTTGCTACTTTTATCAATTCTCAGTGGTCTGTTGCCAACAACGTCTGTTTTAAATTCTCAAATGATGATATTGACTGTATAACTGTCAAATGTCGACCTAAACACCTATGTAAATACAAATTCATTTATATCACAAATATTTATATCACACGTGTGATAGGTAGCACTTCAGAATTATCTATGCTTGCTGATGAATTCACCATTTTCGCTGCCGCCTCTTTTGGTAACTCCCTGTCCATAGTGACAGGTGATTTTAATTCATATGACTGCAGCTTTCTCACAGTGATAGGTCATGAAAATGTTGTTAACCTTCCCACCAGACTGGATAATTCCCTTGATCTTGTATTTATCAATGACTCCGGAATATAGGAAGCTCGTAAAAGAGCTCCACTGTTTAACTCAGATCATTGTATTGTACGGGTTTTACCTAAAATTTATGGAAAATTACACAAGAGAACTTTCTCACACCTTTCCAAGAAAACTGTACATGGATGTTACTCTATGGAGAATGTTCAGAACCTCAGAAGCATGCTCAAAGATACAAGGTGGGACCTGTTTAAAGAAGACTCTCTTGATGACACAATCTCCAATATTACAAGTTATCTCAAATTTTGTCTTGACACCTGTTGTCCCAGAGAAACGCTCTTTATCAGATTTGACCGTTTCTCCTCTCCTCAACTTAAAAAGCTTCGCAGACAGAAAGAAAAATTATATGAAATGAAGGATAATGCTGGTTTGAAAAGAATTAACATCCTAATAAAGTCCGAAATGCACAGATTGAATTCAATTTACAACCGAAAGTTCATATCCTGTAAAAATGCGTCTAACATATGGAAACTTTTCAAAGAAATTACTGGTGGTGAGCAGATGAACAGTATTCCTTTTTCCCTTGATGGTTCCGAACTAAACAAGTCCTTCATACATTCTCCCACGAATGCCAAACTTTCTAGTGTTACAAGTATTAATGAAACCTGCTTTCCTGGACTTACTACAAATGATGTTCTAAAATGTCTCCAGTCTATGAACCCTTCTTGTAGCCTGGGTCCAGATGGTTTGCCTAGTGTTATTCTTAAACATTGTGCAGATATCCTGTGTTATCCTCTCATGGACATATTCAATGATTCTTTTTCCAAAAATGTCGTGCCAGCCGTTTGGAAGGATATTAAAATTGTACCTATTCCTAAGTCGTCTACTGCGACATGTTTTAAATTCAGACCCATTGCTATTACTTCCCCTTTTCTAAAAGCTATGGAAAAGTTGCTCTTACTTAATCTTCAGCCTTCACTTAAAGCCTCTAATGATCCCAAACAGTTTGCCTACAAACATAGTAGAAGTACTTTGGACGCAGCTGCAGTCCTGCATCATAACATTGTCTCCAGCTTAGACAAGGGGGCTAAATTTGTTCGCTGCACCTTTCTAGATTATACATCTGCTTTCGACTCAGTACCTAGGGACATTTTACTAAACAAGCTTGCTGAAACTCAAACTGACTGTTGGGTTGTCAAATGGCTCCATTCTTATTTCTCAGAAAGAAAGCAATACACTGTATGTCAGGGAAAGTCGTCCACTTCATTACTTACTGAGGCTGGTGTCCCTCAAGGCGCTGTCCTTTCTCCTTTTCTGTTTTCTTTCTCCTTGCATGACTTGCCTCACTCCGATGAAATGAACTTTGTTGAGTATGCCAATGATCTAACTATTTCAATGTCTGTTAACTCTCAACTTGACTGTATTAAGATTAACAACTTTCTATCAGAAGTTAGCAAATGGTCTTCGTCTAACGGCCTTAAACTTAATCCTTCCAAATGTCAGACTGTTAATTTCAGTTTCCGATGTAAACGAAAGTTAAATGAAGCCGTTGGTTCCTATGACCCTTGCAAAATCGATGACATTGATATAGAAAGCAAGTCTGAAGTTAAGTATCTTGGATTAGTTCTCTCTTCTGACCTATCCTGGTCTTCTCATGCCTTAGCGATTTCTAAAAGAATATTTCGTTTGACTTTTTACATTAAGAAGTTAAGGCACTCAGGCATAACGCAACCACTCCTCTTACAGTTTGTCAACTCGTGTATTTTACCTATTCTTTACTGTTCACCCGTATTCTTTCCTGGATTGCTAAAAAAGGACTATGTCATACTTCGTAGAACTCTGAGGACTGTCGGTAGGACGAGTGGTAATTCATTGGGCCATATCGTTGGCATTGTCATCGATAGGCATTTGATGTCATGCAACAGATTCGCTAGAGGAATTTTGTCAGACTCTGAGCACCCACTCTACCCGCAGCTCCAACCTTGTGTCTCCTCAGGTAAAACAAGAAGTCTTTTCAGAAGACTTCATGCACGTACATCTAAGTATAAAAATTCCACTATACGATATTTGGCACGTACTCTATGTGATGAAAATAGTGTCAGAAATGAACTAACTAACCTTCTTAGCACCACTAAATAGACCATTTCCTTCAACCTTAAAGCATCATACTTTATTGTTATTCTATTTCTTGTATTTAAAATCCTCTCAATTTTTTCGTTTTGTTTATTTTATTTTTCATAAGTGTGGACATAATTTTAAGCTGTATTATGACTGTTAACTTTGTATTTCACCTCACTATACCATATCAACAGAACATTAGACCCAATTATCCATAACATGCTAAAGTTTCCAAACTGAATCGACAATACCGTTTGAAACAAACTCACTGTTATTGGTATTTATTATTATTATTACTATTATTATTATTACTATTTCTAATAATTATGTCGCTAATGTGGACAAATTTCTCCGATTAATTTTTGTTTTCATTTTTAATTTTATATACATTTTGAGTAAATCAGATGCAATATTGTGACAAATGCTGAGAATTCCATTCTGTATCATAAGTACTGTTTTTGGAATAAAGTAAATTATTATTATCAATGAACGGACATAATGACCTTGATTGACCAATCAGGTGGACCGGTGGTAATTGCGCGTGATTACAACGTTATTCAAACTTGAGAGGAGGCGCTGGTTCAAAAACATGTGGACGCTGAACTGTACAAGCCTAGCTCTTTGTATCTACAGGTATATATTTTTTCGACTTCTGTTGGTGTAATTCAGTGTCAATTATAAAGTGCTTTTCCTCAAGTCGTGTTCTGTTTCTCCGCTCAATCCTGCCTGCATGACCTGTATAATTGTTTGTGTTGTTCTATTACATCTTTGACGTCTCAAAGTGTTAAAATTGTTGTACGGGACGACATTTAAGTGTGTTCCCCAAGAAGATCTCTTACTTCCTCAATAAAGTCCTGAGTGGTAGTCCAACCCTGTCTCTGTACGTAGATTCACCCAGATAATGGTATATCAAGCTGTTTCATGACATATTCACTGCTATGTAGCACCCATTAACCAAACATAAATAAACAAAACGCACAACTTATGTCCCAGGATATTTGCCGGGAATAAGTCAATGGAGGTTTGCATTACTTCGTATAAGTGTCTGATTCCCTGGGTGATTACACAGTTCCAGTTGGAACACCATGGTGCATACGCCCAAGCTTACTATAATGCTGAATTAAATCTCACTAATTCTGAAATAATTCTATAGTAAGTGAATTCTGTATTTGTTCTGAAATGGATTCTTTAATGGCACAGACTAGAACTTAGTGCTGGTTTCCAGCATGACTGGCACTGATTCAGCACCGTGTTCTTTTCCTAGGCATTTTCAAAAGTAGATCAGAACTTACTGGGTTTGCCCATCAGCGTTTTTCCAGCCCTCACAGGACATATTATGCACGGGCTAGTGGTACTTGAGAACGAAAAGATTTAATTCAGCACCCAGCTCTCTTTTTAAGTATGACCAGCGTTATTTTAGAACACAGTGGGTAGATAAAATCTTCATTTACCTTAAAAAGGCATTGTCGAAGAATAGGTAGAATAAGTTTAGAATTGTTGTAAGCTTGGGTGGCACATATCTTTCAAATATGAATTTAGTAATCAGACAAAAGAATTCACCCAATAATCGAATTCGGTAGATCTAACGAAGTACAGCTAGCCTAAATCTAGTAAAAGCAAATGGAAACTAATTGTAGACATTGCGTTTTTCCTCCTAGCTTCAAATACCTGATGTTCACACGTTTTTGTTATGGACTGTTATCTAAGCAGTGCAATGCTGTTTGTAAGTCTATAAAACATTTCTGTTTGAAACGTGTTCAGTGGAATACACCCGGATCTTGGTCAAATAATTATTTGACCTAAATCCTGATTTACTAATAAATCAGGGTTTCGCATTTTGAGCTAAGTTTGGAATTTAGGATTCTGACGTTACTATGTACAGTTTGAGAGCTTCGAATGCATTTAGTGGGCATATTTTCTTAAATAAGGTATTTGGGTATACTCAATCTTTTATAGGAGCCAACACTAGAGGAAGTTACCCCAAGAACAGAGAAGTATAATATAAGGTGTGATATCTTACGTACGAGGAGATAAAAATAACTGGGAATGAGGGACCCTTTCTCTGGTCATTCTAACAATCATTCTACTACACCAAGAGCATATGCGATTATCTTAAAAGTGGTTCATGGCTGTCGACAGCCAAGGCTCTTATTTATTTTATTCTGGTTTAGTTAAGCCTCCTAATCACACTGTTTCTTTCTTATTTTCTGACCAAGTTTATAGCGATGAATACTTCAGATTCAAGCTTCACTTCGTCATCCAGTACATCACAAAAAAGTGTGGACGGTCTAATGAGATTTTCAGTTAACAAAGGTTTAATTGAAAAATCTGAAAACCAGGAGATAGACTCTATCCAACGCGTCACTGTATATGACCACAATGTATTTGAAGCAGGTACTGTTCTGTTTTTTGTGATAATTTACATTGAAGGTGTTATTGAACAAGCTAATGATGCTTTAATTAAACACAAAACTGTTCAGATAAAGGCAGTTAAGGAGCGACTTTCTGCCTTGGATGATGATATTAAGTATGCTGGAACTTCACGTTATTCATTCTATAGGTTTGCTCAAAACGAACTTGAAAAAATGGAACAACTACTTGATAATTTACTCAGTGAAATACCAAACGAAGGGTCTACTAACCGTTTGGAAAATAGAAAAATACGTTCATTAGAACTAGAAATAGAAACAAAGGTAAGATTAATTGCTTTCAAAAATGCATGTCATCGATTTTCTTTTGTAGATGAAGCATATTGATACTTTGTCCTCTCGCAAAACCGCCTTAATTACCAAACTGTCCACCCTTGAAAAAACCTTTCCAAATAACAGTACACCCGGTATGTATTTACACTAAATTTCTTTTTTTGTGAAACTATGCAATAAATTCATCAGTTTATTCATTTTACTGTAGAAGTGTTAACATGAATAAAGATAAGTGTGCATTTTGTGTGTATATAATTCTTATACGCTTTCGTCCCTGGATATTAAACAGTAACTATGTAGTGCTAAGTCCTTATTCAAAGTTATCGATGTTGTAGTGTGGTCATTTAATTAAAAAGTGCAGTACTGCAGTAAATTTTCATCAGCGTTGAATGTTAAGAATCGGTCGACAGGATGAACCTCAGTTTTGGGACTCTTATGGTAAAGTAACTGCGACATAGAGGACTCTCATTACCTTGCTGAATTCCTAGTGTTTTAATAACTCTCAGTGCAATATTAAAACACATTATTCGGCAAAGAGACTTTTCAGCAAATTTATTGTCAAGCTGTACAATCAAATCCATATGGTTTTTTGAGAAAATATGTTTCATGAGACAATTTAAACAAAGGTCTGATAATGCGAAGTGCGACTAAGATGTTTGTAACTGTAATCAGATTATTTAGGACAGTGATTTCCCTGTATCGCATTTATATACAAATATACAAGACGAGTGATTGGTAGACAAGGAGGAGTTGGCTTGCTTCAAAATGAATCGATTTAGAACATTCATTACTTACATCGACAGACAACTGTTATGAAAACACGGATAAAGTTGTACAGATCAGAAGGACAAATTATTTCACCATAGAGATAAAATTGGAATCCTTGATGAAAATTTTGATCCTGATAGTTGTAAACTACAAGCTGACATCTTGTTTAAGAGTAATAATGAAGGACTGCATTTTATTATTATTCCCTTAGGTTCCGAGTGGAACATAAGGCCTCAACAACAAATCTCCACTCTATTCTATTTCGTGCTGACCTCTTCATCTGGCTCCACGATTGACCGTAATCTCTTATCTCCTCACACGATCTCCTCCATGCCATCCTCGGACGACCCACTCGTTGCTTTTCATTGGGACTGTATTTCATCACCTTAAGTCAGATTAAAAAGATGTTTTGATCCGACTAAAAGTTCAGAAGTACAATATATGAGCAGGGTCAGTTTTCCTAAATGGCTTAAAGATATTCAGCAAAATTCTCTGTTCAGTCACAACTGCCTCTATAGCACTGAATGCGTCTTATAATAGCACTGTACAGGAGATTCTAGGACCAGGGTTTTGTGTACATATTGATGGTGAATGTTGTCTATTAAGCGTAGTTTTGATAAAGTCTCACAGTCTTATACATTAATATTTACTGATTACGTTTCGAGCACAATTTATTGCTCATAATCATAAAAATAAATTTTCTCTTTAATGGAACTATACACTACCACAGTACCCAAGTTATCTTATGTCCATTAAGCACAGTTTTCATAAAAATTCATATCGATGGCTTGAGTACCTTCTATACCACCTATTGCCTCCAATGTTTCCTAAATTTTTTTATTTAATTAGAATCACTAAGGAAATAGTTTGAAATATAACGGCAACAGATGATGACTACATTTTACCACTTTAGACAACCCATGTAAAAACGGAGAATTACGCACTAAAAACTTCCCGATGAAAACAAAAGTAATAAATAAAATCGTATTCAAGATTAGCAGAGATATTAGGGTAACTGGGAACTTATGGATTTGAAAACTAACTTCGACAATCAGTCATGTGGATTCTTCTCTTAGAGTTTCTTACAGTCGTTGACATGCTCTACTGACAAGCACCAGCAAGCATGATACTAAGGTCTAATGTCGGTTTGCGGGGATTCGTTTGGTTTCAGGATTTCATCATGAACTGAAATCGGTTAGAGAACTAATACTTGAGTATCAATAGGATGCTCACTAGCGACTGGACCTATTGAGGTAGGTAACTGCGGGAAGTCGTGACCATTAGGGTACAGCAGGTCGGGCGTGAGGACAAATACTCGCCGAAGACATTGGCCGGTGGTCGCGCAATGTCATGAATTGTCAGAAGTTGGAATTCATGGGCCATTAGATCGGGTTCCAGTGGCTTAATGGTCTACAGGCTTGCCTTGTAACCAGAAGGTCCTGAGTTTGAACCCCGGTGGGCGCGCGCCACTGAGGAGTCCCAGGTTAAGACGAAACAACTGTCCAGTACTCCCAGGTTTTCCAATGGTTCTCTAACTGATATCAGTTCATGATGAAATCTTAAGGTCCAATGTTTCCTACCAACCGTTCATTTTAGGGATGCCCATCTCACATGTTTTGTTTTCACAATTACCGTACTCATTGATGTACTTCAAACACACAAAATTAAATTTTTGTTTTTTAAATTTTAGAAACCGAGAAAAGTGAATCATTACAAGCTACTAGTAGTACGAAGTCACTTCCGATAATGGATATAAAACCACCTAGAAAGCAGTCAATTATAAATTTGCCTAATGAAAAAAACCGTAAAAATAATGTTAAAGAATTGAATAAATTAGCTAAAGTTAAGCATAATGATGACGCAGATATCAAGGCTTTTCAGGAAAGACTAAGGCGTCAAAGGCGCATAGACTTGTTAGAAAAACAGTTAGCAAAAGAGCATGAGGTAAATCATTTTCTACGTATATGTTTGTAGTTTTGTTATTTCTCCGTGTAAGGGTTTCTGATTCAAATATTTGCATATGTTTTGGTATACACAGTACTAGCCTAATTTGTAATGCGTGAACACCGAAATACCCTTAAGAAATAATCAGTCGAATAATAAGAGTCTCTGTAACAGTAGTAGTATTACAAGTTTACTTATGCATATATGTAAAGTTTTAGTACTATTTTTGTTGTGAGGCTTATGATATTACAGTGGTCAGATTAGTCGGTCATTGATAATCATTGCTTTTATCTTAGTTATCTGGTGGTTTATTTTCTACTAATTCGAATATTTAACCAATTAATTTACGAAGCACTGGTTAATTCCATGTTAGGACTTATTATGAATTAAAATCAGGCTCATCGGTGACTAGCCTAGAAGTGAATGTTTCGAAATTAAAAAGAAAGTTGTTTCCTGCTGAATCAGCTGGTTCAACAGTAAAGGTGATTACCTATATCCACGTTATATGTTGAATTAGGAAAAAAAAGTTGAGAGAGAAATTTTCATATTCCAAACAAATAGCACTGCCGTGATGGATGACAGTTTTGATTCGATCTAATCTGAAGCTATCAATAGTCAATTGTGGAGTGTTTTGAACTAAAACGAATAATTTCTTCAGTTTTCCTTAATTTTAAATATATTAGTGCACATTTATCCATTTACTGTGTTATACGACTTTGGTGTATTTCTTCAATGTGAATAAACTGAAGAAGGCATCTATCTATTCACTAAGTTACTCGTTCTTTTTTTGTCATATCTTAACGTTTACCTCTTCATATCTGGATTCAGATGAATGCTCAATGATAATGAACAGCTCACTTCATCAAGTGTATACAAAGTTTTTTTTCCACCTGTTAGAAACACCCTTATATCATTTTATGTTCATTAAATTTTGTTACAAAAGTGAGACCATTCAAAATTTCTTCTGAGGAACAGTTAAATTTGTATAGATTTCGATAAGCTTATTTATTTGACTCTGAATACACACAGAGTTCAGAAAATCAATAATTGTGTATTAGGATTTTTCTTTACATTCCATTAAAACTTGGACTGAACACCAGAGATCAAAAGTATGTACAAATAACAACGAAACTGCACGTCGTACATATCTCCACACTGATTGAATATAAATAATGTTAAAATCCCTCCCTTTCCTCAAAGTTTAGACCAACTTGTCATGTCACTAACCTTCATGCAATAATTGTGGCTCATCAAGTGGTACATACACGCGCGTATCTGCTTAGTTACATTATTGTCCGTGAGGTGATCATGATCATGATGGTCATTATTATTACTTTCGTCCTTCTTCCTATTACTACTGTTATACTTTGTACTGAGATTGTTACTTCTGATTATTATTATTATTGTTCCCTTGGGTTCCTAGTGGAACATAGAGCTTCAACTGCACATCTCCACTTGCTTCTGTCCTGCTGTACTTTTCACTTGCATCCATGTCAGTCCATACTGTTTCAACTCCTCTTCACATGATCTCCATGTCACCCTTGGACGTCCCACTCGCCGCTTCCCCTTCGGGTTCTACTCGAGGTGTCTTCAGCTAGTGTCCAGTCCATCTCCAATTTCTCCTGCATATTTGTTGGGCGATTGGTTCTTGTTTCGTTTGTTCCCATAGTCTCTTGTTGGTGATTCTTTCCGGCCGGCCATCTGATCTTCAGTATAGAGCGAAGACAGTTGCTGATAAAGGTCAGCAACAGGCTGTTGGAAATAGTCTTGGTGACCCGCCAAGTTTCTGATCCGTATAGAAGAACTGACTGACTTGACGTTTGTATTGAAAATCCGAATTTTGTTGTTGATGCTGAGTGACAGCGGAAGATTTCCAGATTGGTTTCAGGTTGATGAATTTGTTTCTCGCCTTCCCGATTCTCGATTTGACATCTTCGTCCGTTCCTCCTGTAGTTGAGACAATGCTCCCTAGATAAGTGAAAGAAGTAACCTCTTTCAAATCCCTCCTGTTGATGGTGATTGGCGCTGGATGTTGCTGCAGCTGCTGTTGTTGTTGGTTGGTTATTTTCATAACCTTCGTCTTGTCTATGTTCACCTGGAGTCCACTCCTGGTTAGTTAGAGATAATATTTATCAAGAAATATAATTTATCTTAGCAAAATAAATATCTTCCCCTCAAAGTCAATATCTCTTTCCTTAATCTTCCTTATATTTCTGTATGAACGCTTATTAGTAGGTAAATACACCAACATCTTCACTGGCAAAACATACAGAAGTTTCAATGTCTATCTTCGTTATTTGTTCATTAGTGCCTTTTATTCAGTCATTATGTTTTGTAGTTTCTACAGCAACAATTAATAGGTTTCCTATTAGTCAATTCCGATGCTATTGTATTTTTCCAGTATGTCGGTCGGTCAGTTTTCGACATAGAACTTTGCACATATGTGCAGCAGTTCAAGTCGCCACACTCCATGTAGAACACGAAGCAAGAGAAGAAAGTAGGAGAAATGCATATTACAGACAGTAAACAGAGGTGTGAGACAAAGGTATAGTAATAACGAAGAACAAAACAGTTTCATTGGAAATCATAAGTCACAAGGAATGGATGCATCTGCGCTATGCATTGAGAACGATTTTGAGCCATGTCACCAATTGTATCCAACCATTGGTTTTTACCGTCCCGAGGACCCCAACCAGTCAGGAAGTCTACACCTTCCTAAGTGGCTTAGACTAACTGTTGTAGATTTCATTGACTGGTGCCATGTTTTCGCTTGACCGCCGCTAGCTCTTTTCCAGCCTGGCCCTATATCAGCTAACATTGCCCGTCGAGGAAGGCGATGACTAGGCATACGTAGCACATGTCCTAACCATCTCAGTCGATGTAATTTCACAGTCTTGTCGACTGATTTTCCCGCCTTACCTAACACTCGACGCCTAACCTCAATATTGCTCACCTTATTATACCACTTCACGCGGGAGATAGAACGCAGACACCTATGCTCGAAGACAGCTAATCTTTTCATGTCCAGTATGTGTTCAGCTTCTTACACTGCTTTCTTATATTTCTTTATCAAATTAGTTTAAGGTATCGATTGCACTCCTTCTTAAAGCATGCTTTGCTCACAAGTGTGATGATACTGCACAAAAGTGTGAGGGTAAATTTTATTCATACATGCATGGTGGTTCATCAAACCTATCTTCATGGTACCACTAAGAAACTGAAGACTTTTCTATGTTTAACAGGGAATATAAACTTGAAAAAGGACATTGTTTCAATGTCAGATGACGAAGCAATCTGATAACTTCTAAATCTGAGTATAAGTGAAGTCAAATTAGTCATCAATTCTGATAATGAGTGGATTAAAATCCTTGACGTTTAGATGCACACTCAAAAACTATTCTACTTTAACCAGGTTTCTGAACTCTTGCGATGTGATGGTGTAGGACTAATCTTCCTTCATCGGATGAAATCACATGTGTTGTGCTAAAGTTCTTTTCTTTTAGTGTATTTATCACAATATTTTATAACATACAATTTTAAATCAGCTTAAATTTGTTCTGCAGTTTATCTACTGTTACACAACTTGTATCGCAGATCCAATCAATTGATCCTGAAGATGGGAAACTAGATGGTGGCTTTTGCGTTCCTGGTTCTATTTGGAGTCGATTATTTGATTATCAAAAAAGAGGTGTCAGTTGGCTGTGGAATCTTCATCAAAAGGGATGTGGTGGAATTGTTGGTGATGAAATGGGTTTAGGAAAAACTATACAGGTTAGTGTTATTCAACTTATACTTTACTATTTTCATTCTTAAATATTATATATTTATACTATTTACTATTATCAAAAAACGCATCTGTCTCTTGGTGAGAAATTACCAATATCCTCAAAAGCATAATACTTCTGGTTTAAATTATTATTTTATCATGAGCTGACATCAGTTAGAGAACCACTGGAAAACCTGGGAGTACTGGACAGCTATTCCGTCCTAGTTTGGGACTCTTCATCGGTACGCACCCACCGGGATTCGAACCCAGGGCCTTCTGGTTACAAGGCGAGCTCGTACACCATTGAGCCACTGGGACCCGATCCAATGGTCCTGGAATTCTAACTTCTGCCAATTTACGACATAGCGCGACCATTTCGCAATGTCTTATTCGATGAGTTACTGCCTTATCTTCAACCTGCTGTGCCCTACTGGTCACGGCTTCCCACTAGAACCCCAGGTTAACTGCCTGAATAGGGCCAGTCACTAGTGAGCATCAGAATAATTTTCAAGTATTAGTTTTGTAGGGATTTTGTTTGATTGCATGGAGGATTACATCAAACTAGGACGAAACAGCTGTCCAGTACTCCCAGGTTTTCCAGTGGTTCTCTAACTGATGTCAGCTCATAATGAAATCCTCCATGCAATCAAACAAAATCCCTACAAAACCAATACTTGTAAATTATTATTAGCAGCATCACTTATATAATGATTCACAGAACTGTGAAGAGCGTTCGGTGTGTATGAATTCAAGAATGCTGCTCCATCAATTTCTAAATGGTAGGGGAAATGAATCCTAACCTACGACTGTGTATTAATAAGATTTTTGATCTTTCTCATTGTTAGTTTATACGATAGGGTTAGTATATTGCTTCCCTGTAGAAATGCTTTGATATTACCTCTGGTGAAGTCTTAGTTATCTAACTTGATATTGGTTAATTATCGGTGTTTATCAATCCTACTTCAAACCTATAACAGACATATTCTGAATTCCATTGCAAACTATTCCAAAGCACACCGGACAGCCGTCTCTCTCTCCCGTTTCGAGCCGAGCTTATCAATGGCGTAGCCAATTTTACTCAACTCTAAGAGCCGAATCAGTTCAAACCAGCGAATTTCGCTTTCCAAAGGAAATAGTGGTGAAATTTCACCTCTTCGAACTGTGAACATTGCGAATTTGGTAGGAATGGCATTTCACTTCATGTAATTTTCTGATATGATTTCTGTCCTAAGTTTTTCCTTCAACTCGTATTGTGCTGTTTGGAAATAAACCAAGTTGGTGTTAATATCTCACAATTGCTGTTAATTAATACGGATGCAAACTTTGTAGACTGATTTTGCAAGTTCTATTTTCTACACATTAATTGGCAATTACGTCTTATCTAGTAGTTAGAACGTGTGTAGGCAACTTGGGGATAAAATGCCTGGGAAAAGGAAGATTTAAATACTGCAAGAAGAATAAGTTTACCTGTAAACCAGCCAACAATCAAAGCTTTCTGATGACTGACTTTCAGCCTCCAACACTAAGCATACTGGACCACTACTTCTCTCGCAACAGGCAGTATGGGATTAAGTAGGATTAAGTTAGGAAAGTGCTTTTAAGGTGATCACACCAAAACACAGTGTCAATCCATAAATCCTTTAACTGTTGTTCTGTACCATGTGGGATCGTCAAGATGCTAGGAATCACTAGCTGAAGACTCTTCGTATTACGGTGCAAAATTGTTTACAATGGCCTAGATCTTAAAAAATTTGCAGATCCTAAAGTGTTTTACCAGTCTTCGTTCTTTGTTTCCCTACATTGTGCAACTTTTTGAAGCGTCGTAATTTGATTGAACTCAATTCTGTGTAAATCTCAAATTGATCCATCTGTCAGTCGGTCTTTATTACTATATGTGGCTGCAGTACCTTATTTCTTCATCAGTCTATAAATTCTTTGACTGGACACTAGTTACTAGCTAGTGTTTAGTCACAGTATCCAGTACAGTCCTACAGGGGGTCAATCGCGAGCCCGAATAGTTCAGTGTTAACGTCTCTGACTGCAGCACTGGGTGAAGTGGGTCCTAATCTCAGAGGGGACATGAGTCCTTTCAAGATTGAAGATACGCTTTGCTGACTGGTGAGTGCCAGCTAGCACGAAACCTAGGTCAAAGGCTTACTTACTGCTGATTACATCCAACCGTTTAGTATCAACAAGTTTACAAATTCTCTATGAAAGTCACTAATACAATTCAGGAAATAAAATAATTTCACGCAATTTAATAAATAATGCTTTCTAGGTTATTGCCTTATTGGCTGGATTGCATTATTCTAAGATAGAGGATCAATCGCATCGTTTGTATTTATCTGCATCGAGTTCAAATTCTGAAATTCAACAAGAGTAAGCAAATTTTTCACTTTACACACATGTGTAGAATACAATCCTTTTGATTATTTTTGTTTTAGAAATTCTCTTACCGTTTATTATATCTCTAATTTTAATAATATCTATTAGTACAATCCTGTAGGTATATTCATTCACCGAATGAATGCATTTCTATCTGATTTCAGCGTTGTAAAGTGTTATTCACTAAACACTTTTAAGTCTCATATTCGATAAACTGTATAAGTAGTTCCAAAAAGGTAACTTTACGTGAACCTGGATCTCAAGGGAGACTCATCTTGCAATATCCTTATGAGAATAATTTCAGCATCTTTGAGAGGAACATTCTTTGCAGCATCGCTGAGAGTAGTGTTGTCCAGTGATCCGTTGGTCTGAAGAATCCTTAAGGACAAGATCTGGCATCTGACCACTCATATGTGCATATATCAGTTCACCTGTTCCTGTGGAGCTAGGTACATTGGTCGTTCGACGCGTATCCTGTCCAAAAGGATTCGAGAACACTCTATGAGGAGTGTGATCATCGAACACCTTGTTCACACTAATAATTTCATCTCAACAAACGCCTCCCGCAAAGAAATCTACAGAGTCACGAATAACCTACCAAAGGCAATACGCTTTCGTCTACTTTGTATTACTGGAGCCTTAGCCAATTAGTTGGAAAAACCAGAGTTATGTATACAAAAGAAAATCATTCAGCAAAAGCTATTAAAGCAGAATTCATTAAATTAATAAACTCCAGTAGGGCTCATTAGCTCCTAACTCTTCACTACTTTATACACTGTAACGCATTAAATGAGTACATTAATGCACACGTAATATGATCTGTACCACAGAGCTAGAAAAATTTGCTGCAATAAAACAATAGGTTAAGAAGTAAAAACACTGAAAGATATTCAGATGAAATAGGATTACTCTGTAGACTTCATTTCTACAAGTATTTCTCAAATACAGAACACCATTCTATATAACCTCTGGAAACCAGTATTTACTCACTTATCTTTTAAAGGAGATTATTTCTGTTGAACTGGACTATACAGAGAGCCTACAACGAAGCTGAATTTCGTATTTCTTTCTAGCATTACCAAATGGGACAATCCAGGGGAAGGTATGACACTAATTCTTCTCAACACACCAAGCTTCACTTACTAATTCGAACGGATTTCGCGGCAGCACCTTAGTGCAGACGACAATACCATCATTGAGACTTTCTGTGTTATCAGTAGACAATGAAAAAAGAATAGACAAGTAATCGTGGGGTCTTATGCAACTGACATGCGTAATCTACGTGTGGGCGTATAGGAGGTAGTAGTAATCACCTCAAACTTAGGCTACTGTAGACATGTGTATTATTGTGTTTGTTATTTTTCTTTGTTTTTCCTTGTGCATTCATCTTTGAATTATTTTCTATTCTCTTCAACTAGTTTTATTCAATGATCAAGTGCTTTGTTAACACTTTGATCACCATTCTGTTGTTGTTATTGCTATTTTCACCCAAAATTGGTATGTAGAAACACAAGGGAAAGTCTATTTTGCACAGTATATGCATAAATTTACTCATCTCTGATATATGTGATATATGAATATACATATATTCATAGGATGGATAGAACTTGTAAAGGGTGAGCAATTATAGGATCAGTAGACAAATCGAACAAAATAAAAACGTTACGTAATATTGTGTGAAATTCGATAGCATAGAATTTAACGTTGTAAAAAAGAATTGATTTAGAATGACGAGTGGAACAAGTGAAATAATACCGGGGCCAGTTCAAAGTGAGAATAGTAATAGTAACAATTGACGTAATGAAGGAAAAGAATACAAATTGAATAGACAAAATGAAAACTTGGTAGAGCCAAAATATGATTGGGGATTACCATACTTTAGCATAGAGGGATTAAGCCCATGAAATTTGTAGGGGTTGAACGAACTTTTTCTGTATACAGAAATCTGGCTATTCTGTTTCGATAGCGAAGGCTTCAGCAATACAGTTGAGTCGGGTATGTGGTGATTAGGGTGAATTACTGTTTTATTGATATACGTATAAAACTTTGGCACCATGGTAGAGTATAACTCCATTATATATAAGATTTTATTAGGATAAATTACACAGTGTTATACAGTAATATTAACTGATGCCGTTTCGAGCACAAACTATTGCTCATAATCATATCAAGTCACTACTGTTTGCCTTGTAGATGACTTTAAAGGCGGAGGCTGTAGAGATGTTCAATGATCGTGCCTATTATTCCTCCACTTCCACCTCTTCGTAACCAGGCAGGAAAGTGTTCTTGCAGCCTTTTGGACAAAACTCGAGTCGAACGACCGCTATACCTAGCTCCACATGAGCAGGTGAATTGATAAATGCACATAGAGTTGGTCAACAGTGGGATCTTGTCCTTCCGGCTATTGAAAAGTAATGGTCGACTGGTAAAGACTATTCTCAAACATGCAGTAGGGGATGTTCTTTTCAGGGACTGTGAGATCCTTCTTTTCATGATATCGGAAGCTAGGTAGCCTTTGAATTCTAAGCTCATGTATAGTATTTTCTTGGGTACGGATGATAAATCACATTTCATAGGGTTTGGCTGTGTATTCCTGCATATAAAACGTGGTGGAAATCCATTTTCTGTTAGGATTTTGCTCAAAAGATTTAACTCATCCTCCACAGTATCAGGGCTACATATGCGCCGAACGCGAGTGGCAAGCTACCGGACCAGGTTTCGTTTTCGACCAGTGGGTGCCCAGCTGTAGAAATCTGTCAGTTGAGCATTCCGTGACAGCTTTCGATAAATCGATCGCTTCAGAGTTCCATCAGTCCTCATTGATGAGTTCACATAGAGAAGATGAATACCAGACTCATTCTCCATTTCGAGTGTGGATTTTACTGCTGGATGGCAACCATTAAATTCATATAACGTATAATTCAAATTATAATCACTATCACAAGACCATGAAAGTTGGATGGGTTGAAGGAACTTTTTCTTGTACTTTCTGTGAATATTCATTGACTTGCAATTTTTTATTTTAATAGTTTCGTTGGATTAGGTCCAAGTCTGATTGTTTGTCCAGCTACAGTACTGAACCAATGGATGTCAGAATTTCATTCATGGTGGCCACCTATTCGTGTTGCTATATTACATTCTACCGGATCAGGTTACGGAAAACCGGTAAGTAGTGAATTATCATCTTGTTTTTTTTGTTTTTACCAAATCTTGTTGGTTTTCTCTTCTTTTTTTTCCAATTCATCTTGCCTAACTGTTTATTCTTGTATTCATTACAATTGTTTAGAATAAACTTATACAAACAATATCCAATAATCCAGGAAGTGTATTACTAACCACCTATGCTACTCTCGTAACCTATCGTGATGTACTGACAAGTCGAAATTGGTCATATATTATTTTAGATGAAGGCCATAAAATAAAGAATCCAGAAGCTGAAGCCACATTAGCTGTAAAACATGTAGGTGTCACAATTATTCACCTTTTTTTGATTGTGATTTTTAAAAATAATGATTATTTTAGTTCTCCACTCCGCATCGACTAATTCTTTCTGGTAGTCCTATTCAAAATAATTTACGCGAGTTATGGTCACTTTTCGATTTTGTATGCCCGGGACGTTTGGGACCACTACCGGAATTTATGCAACAATTTTCTATACCGATTACTCAGGGAGGTTATGCTACTGCCTCACCACTCCAAGTAAGTAGTTGTAATGGTAATATATATATTTTTTTCTTTATAAAAATCTTGTTCATAGATACGAATATGTGCGTCTGTGGTTCAGTGGTGGAATGGTTGCCAACCACGCATGTAGTCTGGGTTCAAATCCCCATCGTTGCACTCTTAAACCTAGCTTATAGCCAGTAGGAGGAAGTCCAGTGAAAAGGGAAGGTTGGGCGTGAAGCTAGCAACCCCACTTCGTGAAAACATTACCACCGCATGAAGCCCTATTGTGGTGGTGTGATACAGACAATGTGTTCCAACGGAATATTATTCTCACATATTCCCACAACTCAATACTGTATTAGCAACAGAATACTGTATATGTATTTGAACAATCTATTTCATGTCGCTTAATGTAAACCGAAATCACACACTCAGTGATTGGTTAGAGAATATAAAGTGTGTAGATATAAGTAGCGGTTTGATCACTTGAAAATATACCTTAGTTTCCGTGTCTTGCCTTCTGCTGTTACACTATGTTCCACCCGGGACGCAAAGGAATGATATATTTATATATATAAATCTTGTTTAAAGTCGTAATAGTAGTAGCGTTAGCTGGCTGTTTGTTGTTGAATGAGTATTTCCTTATTGCGTCTATGTTGGTAACACCTTGTGTAGGTAAGTGCCAATTTTCTTTCATTGAAAAATACCTATACTACTCGATCAGTTAGCCATCACATCATCTCAGTAGTGTTTTGTCATCCATCGTCTTAGTTTATTCCTTTTCATTCATTCTGATAGTTTCTTTCTTCTGACCACGGGTTTCGATCTAAAGGTGACTTCCGATATTATTATATCCGTTGTCTAAGGGCGTTGCTTCATGAGGAGTGACAAAGTTGAAAGGTCTGTTATTGAAACTCAACGATACAAGAGCAAAGAAATTACTAAAATATTCACAATCTAAGATTGTAGTTACCGAATTTCATAAGCGAATATCTATGCGGTAAAAATTAACCTACCATGGGGCCGTATAAATTTGTCTATGTATCAAAAAATGACAATGTTCGCTTCTAGTTTACTAATAGTCTGACTTTACTTTATTGTTGTTAAACATCTTAAAGGTTAATAAGTTGAGGGATAATTCGAAAATCTGTTTCCTCCCTATCATTCATTGTTGATTGTTCTTTTTTCACCTAATCTGTAAAGGTTGAAGCAGCATATCAATGTGCATGTACTCTACGCGATCTTTTAAAGCCATACCTTATTCGCCGACTCAAAGCTGATGTACAAATACAACTTCCGTCTAAATCTGAACAAGTAAGTTGAACATAGGTGTAAATCATCTATCTCTCTTCCTTTAATGTAATCATATTGGTGTGAGTAATGTCTTTGCATTAAAATTATAAATGATGCGTGTGTAAAATATGTTATCCAATCAATGCTATATATATATATATATATATTACAAGTGAAACAAAAGATAATCCACCCTTAGAATAATCAAGTTAGTATAGTTGGAAAGCACTATCGATTGAAACTAGGGGGAGGGAGGGGGTCAGCAATGTACGGCGGGCAGCACACTTAACTTGCTTTCTTAGTATCATTTACAAACAGGGGTCGTGATCTAAATATTTTTGGGTTTCTAAAGAAATAACACTCTAAACTGTGTGTACTTAACAAATCGCTAATTGTATTAAAAGCCAAGGGTTGTTAAATCAAAAAGCCTAATAAAATAGACCTATGATCGTAGTCAAAAATTTATTACATGTTTTTATTGATAAAATAGTTGAAAATAAACCCATCCATATTCATAAGTTATTTCTTTAAATGTACATTGAAGATATTAGTCACTGGTTTGTCTCCGTCCCGTCAGTTATCGCTTGGCATCGTAGTTGTAAGATTACTGACTTCTGAAAGTGAAAAAGAGTAGTAGTATTATATGAACTGAACTGAATTTCCAACAGTGTAGAACTTTCCACTAAAGTGCAACAGTTCAATTCACCACACTTCATAAAGATATGCATGTGTATAGAAAAGGAGAGAAAAGCAATACAATCCCGCAAATATACGGGATAAAAAATAATAATAATTAGGATTTAATCTGCACCATCATGAAAGATTTTGGAACATGTCACTAAAAGTCCTCTAGACATGTTTTTTCCTTCACGTTCCCCAGTGGGATATAGGGCTTCAAGCTTGTGGCTTGAAGTTTCTGTAGCAGTGTTTATTTTACAGGATGGGGTTGCTAGCCTCATGCCCAACCTTTCCTCTTCACCAGCATTATTTCTGGCTTAGCGAGCGAGGTAAAGGAATGCGTCGGCCGGGGATCGAACCCCGGACCATGTGCATGGTCGGCGAGCGTCCTAACCGCTATGCCACCGACGCACTCTCTAGAAATTAATTCTTAACAACTCGTGTACAGAGACCAGGTAGTCTACACTTCCCTTCATAGCTAAAGTAAACAGTCAACACATCGGTTTATTTTTCATAATTACATCCATTTCATAAGCACATGCATCGGTGGACATTATAGAGTCTCCCAAGTATTCGAAGCTTCAGAATCACGTGCTGGTCAGTCAGATGTTTTCCGTGCTCGCATCCACTGTCCGTAGAAATTCGTCAGGACTTAGTAGTTTATCTAGTAGAACTGTTGTCTTATTGAAATTTCTGACAAATAGGTTGTAGAATAGCGGTCATTTTAACATATTCTCATCAATAGTACACGCCATATATATACATATATATACGTCATGATATGTAAATTTATCGTTTACAGGTTCTATTTTGTCGACTAACGGAATATCAACGGAAACTTTATCGCGAATATTTGGAATCACAAACATGTAAAGATCTGTTAAATGGTAAAGGCAATGTAAGTTTTAAGTTGAGTTATTCATAATTATTAAATGGTGTTACTATCTCTGTTTTGAAAGCCAACTCTTATTCCTTTGTCTTGTGCACATAGCTTTACTTACTTTACTTTACTTTACTTTACTTCGGCTATCTCCTACGGGAGGATGAGCCGGCTTCATGAACATCTCGAATCATCGCTCCAGGCACGGCAATCTGATCAATTTGCGACAGTTTCCAATTCTTGTTCCACAGACGGAGTCCGTAGACGGTTTGTAGCCCCCCCAGGCACTCCATATCAGCCTTGATTGTACCACGTTTGTAAGAGAGTTCATGAAGTTTCATGGGAATTTGGTACGAGTGATGTCCCCAGAATCGCTCGGCCTTTTGTTTGAGAGTGCAGCTCTAGCCTTTACACAACCAAGTATGAACTACAAGGCAGTAGGAGTGGAGTAGGGAGTCCACTATCCATTGTCAGCCGGTGACCGGAGTTCGGTTCATACGCCTTTTTGAATGGGGCCAGACATCCAGGACATCCAACAAGCCCTTTGTCCATACGTCTGCCGGTGAGCTCCAGTGAGCTTCATACGCCAGTCGTTGGAGGTTTGGAATCAGGGTTTAGCCATCTCCCCTAGACTGTCATCCAATGGACAGTCAACCCGGTGAAGATCGCCGGGCATCCGCTTTCGCCCTCTCACTTTGATGAAAAACACCTCCGCCACGTGAAGGCAGTGAGTAGGACTTCCTCAGGAGAGGCTATGTAAGACGCCCGGTCATATGGGAGCATTTCAAGAGGTGTGCGGAGGGGTGGCCAACCCGCAGTGCAAGGCACCCACCCCCGACCATCCTGAGGCTTTGGAGGCAACCATAGCTGTAGCTAAATACTGATTAGTTATTGCATTTCTAGATTTCGAAAACTGTGTACATTTCTTTTTTTTCTCTCTAGATTTTTCCGTCTTTAATCCTATTGCGAAATCTATGCAATCATCCAGATTTGGCTACAGGTGGACCGAGAGATAGTTGTTTTTTAAATGAAGAATATGAAGTTGATAAACAAGGCATTGAAAATGTTTGCTTATCTTATTCATGGTCGAGATTTGGTTGTCCACGTCGATCTAGTAAAATGTTAGTGGTTGCTTCACTTCTTAAAAATTGGTTTGATCAAGGACACAAAGTTTTACTATTCTCACAAGGTCGTAGGGTAAGTCAGTGGTTTCACGTTCTCTTTCTTTTTTTAAAAAAATTTTTCTCTTTACAACGTTTTGTCTCTGTTTTTGATTCGTTTGTCTTTTATTCAATGATGGGCAAAGTTAAACTTTAAGCACCAGCAAGCACCAACGGACGAATGACCAAGAACGCATCAACCATATGACAGAGACGAGTTTTGTGTATAAAATACATATATGCACGAAAATAATGAATTAAAAAGGCATGAAATTGTTACACAGGATAGCCTTCGATAACCAATTAGAATTCAAATACAAAAAGTCGGATAATCGTTGAAAAAATCCACTGGAAACATTGCAAACATGATATTATACTATATAGTTGTCGATTGTGTTGTAAGAATGTTTCCCAGTCACTGCACAGATGATCTATAAATAAATTATACCATGCGTGATAGATGCATTCATCCAGGTGACTGTAGGCCATCGTACTTTGAGATCTATTGATATTTCTAACATTGTTCTTAAAACCTACTCCTAACTCTAACATAATCCTAACTCCTAATCGTAACTTTAACCCTAGACCCTATACCTTAGTCTAAAATGCCATAACCCTACCTAACAGTATATATTTGTAGAAGAAACACCTAGAGAATAAGTGGAATACTGTATCTACCTTCTCCAAGTCCAAAAAGGTAGACATGATTTTATTTGGAATGACTTTTTATAGCATTCTCTGGTGGCGCAGCGGTTAGGACTCTCGCCAATCATGCGCATGGTTCGAGGTTTGATCTTCTGCCGACGCACCCCCCCGATATCAGTGGTCGGCCTGCAAAATTTGGGCTACCGATATCACATGCTGAAAATTCCATACCTGTACCAAAAAATACGGTGTGGGGTCAAGCTGTATAAAAAAATAAATATCTGACTGGTCTTCGAAGGTCAACTTTTGGAAGAGCTTGGCTTTGGCTATGATACTTTAACTTCACCCAGTATTATTTACCAGGTTTCATCAACCTGCTCGCTGGGTGTTTTAAAGTCATTAGTGCAACCGCACTCCATTGGCACTTACTGGTGCTTAAAGTTTAACTTTACCCAATGATGTACAAATAAATAACAAGCCCTATGATAAATATTATGTGTATTTTCAATGGAGTTTAAATGACTTTTTTTCTTTCAAAATCATGTGAAAGTAGCTATTATCTGAATTAATTTCGTCATTTGTAGATCATACAGTCCAAGGGTGATTTGAGCTGTTTCAGCTGTCTGAGTTGAGTTTAACTATAGGGGACACAGCTGATAAGTTTGGTCTCAAACAAGCGAGATGGCTCTTTGGTGTTTCAAATAGTTCTGGCAGGGACTGCAGAGCATTTTTTTTTTATTTAAACACAAACTTGGTGCAATATTGGCAGCAAGAGATGCTCCACACAAATATATAATAAAACAACAGTATAAGAAAATAGAATTGAATAAATGGGCTACATCATCAAGAAAACAAGCAAGCATAGTTATCGAGTGAATCTAAAGGATGGTTCACTACTTCATGTTATTTTCAGAAAGAGAAGAAAGGAACAAATTGCAGTGTGTTCGCTGTTATTTATTACGACTGTCTGCCATACATGAAAACTGACTCGAATTATCTCCCGGACTTCATCCAGATGTTTGTGATGCTTCAACAGATGCTAACCTAACACAAACTTCCTTCATCCTATGGCTCCATGTCATCGTCTAACCACCCATCCACTTTACCCAGCTTGTTCTACAGCTAACAAATAGTAAACGCTGTGAGGTCACCGGGATAACATTCATGGTACACTTTCTATCGACTGAAGCTGATTTTCAAAATGACAACACTTATTAAATGACGACTTTCACCACTCTCACACACTGCTGGACCTCTGAATGAATAACATGATGATGCCATCGGATGCAGGCAACTCAGCAGCAGTAGCGATGATTGAATACCCAGAGTTGTCGCACACCTTCGGCTTGGAGAGACAAGGTTTCATAGGCGTAGAGCAAGACTGTGCGTCGTGACCGCGCCAGAGCTGTTCCAGGTTGGCTTTTACAATATGGGCAGAGATTTGACCACACCTTTGCCAACACCCATACAACTACCTCGATACATGAACCTACCAATCATTTCTAATGGTTCACCTTCAAGGGTGAGTGCAGGTATAGTCTCCTCCCAGTCGTGCAATAATACTTTCCACCTAGCGCAAAACACATATCATACAGACATTGATTGTCAACTGATTAAATGTGATTTGGACAGCTTGCATGTTATCGCCTAGTAAGACTATATCGTCCGCATACTCAGCGTCAAAAAGTGTTTCCTAGTGCTTCAGATATACAACAGCACAACACATCCTCTGAAGCTGTTTCCAGAATGTTATCGGTAGCAAAATCTGAAAGAACTGGTGAGAGTGTGCAACCGTACTGGTCGAGAATAACAGTGATCACTAGTTGTATGCTGTCACTCTACCTGAGGTGTTTCTGTATGGGGGATTAAGCTAAGAAACTGTCTGAACAACAAAACCTAAGCATATGGTTGTCTCAAGATACCACTTCCCCTGCCTTAAAGTCCGATCCGCTTGGCTGTGTTACCGGGATTTCTGGTTACCAAAACGTTGTTCGTAACCCATTCTTTCTTTTTGGATTGTGAAGCCTGCTGGCATCATAGATTTGGGACCAGGTCTTTCCAGCTTCCCTAGATTGACCTACGTGTCCACTAGTCCAATTATGAAGCCGGACCTTTCTCTTTCAGTCTTTCACTTTTACAAGAATACATGAAGTCAGTGAATAGGACTTACCTAGCAGAGGTTTTGATCATATAGCCATATGCGAAAATTTTCAGAGGAACGAGAAAGTCTACCCACTCTCTCAGCTGTACGAGGGTCAATACCATAATAACATTAATGACAGAGAGTGTCTACAATCATTACTAAGGGACAAAATCTACTTACTCTGTATTGTAAAACACTTGAATGTGCTTTTTATTATATCCTCTTTCTTTTTTACTGTAATCTCTTTCTGTAGCTGTTACATTATTTTGATAAATTTAATATGATTTATTATTTTATAAAGTTTATCTATTCAACTATTTTATTCTTTTAAATTTCCTATTATTATTTATTAGATGCTTACATTACTTGAACGTTTAGTACAATTGATGAAATTACCATATCTTCGAATGGATGGAACAACACCTATTAGTCAACGTCATGAACTTATTCGACGTTTCAATTATCGTAAAACAAATAATACTGAACATGCATCATCAGATCCTTGTGATATATTTGTATTTTTGTTAACTACACGTGTTGGTGGTCTGGGAGTAAATTTAACTTCAGCTAATCGTGTACTTATCTATGATCCTGATTGGAATCCAACTACAGATCTACAAGCACGTGAAAGAGCCTGGCGTATTGGACAATTACGTGATGTTATTGTTTACCGTTTATTGACTAGTGGAACTATTGAAGAGAAAATTTATCAGAGGTATCCTTTTATTTGAAAAAATATTTCATGTATTTCAATGACTGACTGATTGGTTTCAACGTAGAACTTTGCACAGATGTGCAGCAGTTCGAATTGCCACTCTCCCTCTATGTAGCATACAAAGCAAGAAAGATTCAAAAGAGAGATAAACAGAAATATGAGGCAAAAAGAATAGTAATATGGAAGAACAAGAGAATTTTATTGGATATTATAAATCACAAAGAGTGAACGCATCTGCGCCAGATATTGAGAACGATTTTGAGCCATCTCACCAATTGTCTCCAGCCATTGGTTTTTATCATCCCGAAGACCCCAACCAGGAAGTGTACACCCTCCCACGTGGCTTAAACTAACTGTTGTGGATTTCATTGACTGATGCCATGTTTTGATTTGACCACCACTAGCTAACTCTTTTCCAACCTGATGCATCCTATGTCAGCAGAGGTGGCGTAGCACATGTCCTAACCCATCTCAATCGGTGTAACTTCACAACCTCGTCGATTGATTTCCCTCCCTCCTTACCTAGCACTCGACCGACGCCTAACCTCAATATTGCTCACCTTATAATACCACTTAACACGAGAGATAGAACGCAGGCACCTATGATCAGAGACAACTAGTCAGGCTTTCTATGTCTTCCACTTTCAATGGCCATGTCTCGCTCACAGCCATAAAGGAGGATAGAGCGAACTGCTGAGCAGTACACACGCCCTTTGGTCGATAGCCGTATATCACGTCTACGCCAGAGATGATATGAGTTTGTAAACAGCACATGAACCTTTTGTATTCAAGCTGAGATTTCATCAGCGATCAACCTATTGGGGCTGATAAAACTACCCAACTAAGTGAAGTGGTCAACACGCTCCACCACTTCCTTCCCTATCTTCAATTATTTTATTCTTATTGTTGTTTCCTTTAATTCCTAGAGGAACATAGGGCTTCAGCCGTGCGTCTCCATTGCGTTCGGTTCTCTGCTAGAGTCTTCACCTGGCTCCAAGTCTGCCCACACGTTTTCATCTCCTCTTTACATGACCTCCTCCAAATCACCCTTGTACTGACGACCAACTCGCCGCTTCCCTTTCGGGTTCCACTCGAGTGATGGCTTGTCTAGTGATGTCACTTGATGGTTTCCTCAGAGTATGGCCAATCCATCTCCATTTCTTCCTGCCTATTTGTTTCACAATCGGTTCCTGGTTGGTTCGCTCCCAGAGATCTCTGTTGCTGATCTTTTCTGGCCGGCCATCTGATCTTGAGTATTGAGCGAAGACAACTGTTAATGAAGGTCTGTAGTTTGTTTGAGATGCTCTTTATGACGCGCAGTGCAAGTCTCTGATCCGTATAGTAGCACTGACTGACTTCACATTGGAGTTGAAAATCCGGATCTTATTTTTGATGCTGAGTGCTGTTGACCTCCACACAGGCTTGAGAGTAGTGAAAGCTTGTCTTGCTTTCCCGATTCTTGCTTTGATATCCTCGTCAGTTTGTCGGCCTGTAGTTGAAACGATGCTTCCCAGGTAGGTAAAAGAGGTTGTTTCTTTCAGGTTCCTCCCATTTGTGCTGATTGTTGTCTGTTGTTGTTCTTGTCCAGGAATCTTCATCACCTCTGTTTTCTCTATGTTCACCTGAAGTCATATCTTCTCTGGATGCTTCTTCTGCCAACTTGTTGCTTTTCGCTTGCATATCTTCCAGTTTGTGGGAAATCAGACATATATCATCGGCGAAGTCCAGATCCTCCAAGTTTCTGTGTGGGTCCATTTTATGCCTGTTTCCTCATTGCCCGCTGTTTATCACATTATCCAATCTACTGCAATCAGGAAAATCATTGGCGATAGTAGGCAGCCTTGTCTTACTCTTGTCCTCACTTTGAAGGGTTCCGTAAGTTTCCCGTTGTGGATTACTTGGCATGCAGCATTGTCGTACAGCTGTTGGATGAGATGTATAATTGTCGGTGGCACCCCATAGTAGCGAAGTAGCTGCCAAATCACCCCTCGATCGACGCTGTCAAAGGCCTTTTCAAAGTCGATGAAGTTGAGATAGAGAGGTGACTGCCATTCCAAGCTTCGTTCAATGATGATCCATAATGTGGCGATCTGATCAATGCATGACTTGTTTCTCCTGAATCCAGCCTGTTCCGGTCGAAGGTTTTCATCCAGGTGGGCCTGTTTGATTCTCTCCAGGATGATGCGGCTTAGTATTTTGTTTGGGGTGGACAGGAGCATAATTCCGCGCCAGTTCTTGCATTGACTTAGGTCTCTTTTCTTTGGTAGTTTGAATAAGTATCCTGTCTTCCAATCCTCGGGTACTTTGCCTTCTTTCCACACCTTCTCCAGTAGTGGCGTCATCAAGCCTGCTGTTGTCTCTGGGTCCATTTTCAATGCTAGTGCTGGGATTCCATCTGGTTCTGCTGCTTTTCCAGCTTTTAGCATCTTGATTGCCTTCAGGACTTCTGATTTCGTCGGGGGGTTGGTGTTCACTGGCAGCTCTGTCTCCGTTGTTGTTATTGTTGGGCGCGTTGTAGGAGGTGGTCGATTTAGGAGTCTTTTGAAGTGTTCAGCCCAGTGTTTCCTTTGCTCCAGTTCTTTGGTGAGTGACTTTCCATTGTCATCCTTCACTGGCTTAATTTGTGTCAAACTTTTGCCCGATAGGTACCTAGTTGTTTGATAGAGTGTTGCGAGACCTCCTTTGCCTGCAGCTTGTTCTGCTTCACTTGCCATGGCTTCATAATATTTTCCTTTGTCTTCCCTGGCACTCTTCTTTACTCTTTTGTTCAGTGTCTTGTAGTTTGCATTCAAATAGTGTTTTTGTTGCTCTTCGGTGCACTGGATAATCTTTTGTTTCACCATACCTCTCTCTTCTATCAGTCTCCAAGTGTCCGTAGTGAGCCACTGTTTGTCCTGTCTCTTCTTTCTGCCTAGAACTTCCATGCAGGTTTGACTCCACACTGTTTTCAAATTGTTCCAGTGCTTTTCGACGCTGACCTCTCCAGTGTTGATTTGTTTCTCGGCTTTGTCCTTTATGCTTGCAGTGAAGATGTCCTTTGTGTCCTGGTCCTTCATTTTTTGAGTGTTGAACTTGGCTTGTGGTCTATCTGCAGCTCCTGTTTCTCTGAAAGCTTTTATTTTGATTTGGATTGTCCCTTGTACGAGGTAGTTGTCTGAGCCAACGTCTGCTCCTCTTCTTACTTTCGTGTCCAGTAGGTTGCGCCTCAACTTCCTTGAGATTGAGATGAAGTCAATTTGGTTTTTGGTTCGCCCATCTGGTGACACCCATATAGCCTTGTGGATACCCTTGTGTTTGTATACGCTGCCACCCATCACTAGTTCATTGAAGGCGCAGAAGTCGGCGAAGAGTTCTCCGTTTTCATTCATTTCTCCGAGAGCTTCTCTACCCATGATGAGTTCTCTTCCTGTGTTGTCTGATCCCAGTTTGGCGTTCATGTCCCCCATTAGTATTTTAATGTCAACAACTGGAGTATTATCCATTGTTGTCTGTAGCTGTCTCTAGAATTCTTCTTTCTTTTCGAGTTCTGCGTTGTTTGTCGGTGCACATCATTGTATAATTGACACTTTCCTTCCTTTAGAGTTGAATCTGGCGGTCATTTTCTTGGGCGAGATCGCCTCCCATTGCATCAGGGCCTTCGTTGCGGTTGGTGATATCATGATAGCCACGCCCTCGGTGTGCGAGTGGTTATCTTCTGGGTGACCGGAGTAGATCACTGACTCACCTGATGACAATTTGGTGAGTTCATTCCCGTTCCATCTGCTTTCACACATCCCCAGTACTTGAATTCCTATCTTTAAGCTAGGAGTCAATGTAGTCCAGTCGTGTAGCATCATCTTACGCCTGGCAGGAGCGAACTGCATGCCAAACATTCAATGATTGCTGCTCAAGGTGTTCAGAAAACTGCATATTGTCAGGGTTTTCACTTAGAAGGACTATATCATCTGCATATTCTAAATCAATGCGATTATTCCCTGGTAACAAGTCGATCCCTGAGTCACTGAAGTCACTTAGAGTTAAGTCGATTAGTACATCTATGATGAAATTAAACAGAAATGTATTTCACTGGGTAGAAGTTGACAGTTCGAAGGACTTAACAACAAAATCTCTTGTTTTTGGTACAGTGTACAATCGACTGAGATGGTTAGGACATGTGTTACGTATGCCTAGTCATCGTCTTCCTCGACGGTAAATGTTAGCTGATATAGGGCCAGGCTGGAAAAGAGCTAGCGGCGGTCAAACCAAAACATGGCACCAGTCAATGAAATCCACAACAGTTAGTCGAAGCCACGTAGGAAGGTGTAGACTTCCTGACTGGTTGGGGTCCTCGGGACGGTAAAAACCAATGGTTGGAAACAATTGGTGACATGGCTCAAAATCGTTCTCAATGTCGCAGATGCATCCACTCCTTGTGACTTATGATTTCCAATGAAACTGTTTTGTTCTCCGTTATTACTATACCTTTGTCTCACACCTCTGTTTACTGTCTGTAATATGCATTTCTCCTACTTTCTTCTCTTGCTTTGTGTGCTACAAGGAGGGAGTGTGGTGACTTGAACTGCCGCACATATGTGCAAAGTTCTATGTCGAAAACACAGACAATGTACAAATTTATACACTGTATTGACAAGCATACTTCAATATAGACAACTATAAGTTTCACTATGTTACACAGTGTGAACATATACTTAACATAACACCTTATGCGGTGTTTTGTATGATAGTGATTTGTGCTGGTTAAGCAGTGTAGACAAAGTGGGGCTTGAACTTTTGTCTGCATTTTGATTGCTGAATATCGTGTTTTTTGTTGTTGTTGAATGTTGTTAGCGGATTAAGACTTTAATGGGGCATGAACAACAGTAAAATTCAGAAATCCCTGCTGTTTATACCTAGTGTGTGTCTGTGATTCAGTGGTAGAAAATTCGCCAACCACGCACACAATCCAGGATTCGATTCATCAACGTCGTTTAGCCGGTAGTAAGCACGGTGAAGAGGGAAGGTTGGGCATGAGGTTAGTGTCTCCACCCCGTCAAAAGAAACACCACTGCTACTGAAAATTCAAACCTCAAGCATAAAGCCCTGTGTGTTTCACGTGGAACGCAAAGGGGTAAAATGATAATAGCTAAATTTGTTCAGTATGCATAGTTGTACACCTCTGAGAGACATATAATACTGAGCAATGAAAATAAGCTCTTGTACAGTAGGTATTGTTACCAAAGTTGAAAATTTAAATATAGTAAAGCACATATGTTGGAATACATGAGCTAATTAATGAATTCCAATCCAGTGGCTGAATAGTTGATGTTCTCATCTTGTAATCCTGAGATGCTGCTTTTCAACCCCTGGTGCGCGATTTCTAGGTGCATACTGCCCCGGAGAGTACCAAACTTGTGACACAATGGCTGTCTCGTGCTCTCTAGTTTTCAATGGTTATCTGACTCACGTTGATTATTGACGAAATCTACTCATATGAATCACATTTGCTAATCAAACGCTTAATTGCACACCGTTTCTGGATGTACTCTGGGATAGTAGACAAAGGCAGAGTATATTAACGGTGATTAAAAGGGAAGTATGACTACTTTTTTCATCTCATTTCAGTTATGAAAAATGAAAACTTAGTCCTTTTTATTGAAAAAATAATTCATGGTTAACTTCCAGTTATCTTAAAGACACTTATTAACAAATCTGCTTTACCTCTCCTTTTTTGTTGCTTTGACTGTGATTACAGTGAAATTACATCGCATCCATCTTTCATCTTTCTTTTGCTCATTAGCCTCATATTCATTCCTTTTATTATTGATCAAAAACTTTTCGGTATTTCCAAAATTTCGGATATTTTAATTTGACCTCTTCTTCTTATTACTATTAGTAGTAGTAATGTCACATGTGTAAGAGACATGGCTCATAAGCTTAAACACCCGATTTTCAGCTGGTGGGTCTACTTAATTCAACCTGGGCAACTGGGTAAAATCATATTGTATCATCATTTTCACTTACTGAGTTGAACTCACTATTAAGTCTCAAAATCTAGTAAATTAGAATATTTGATCTATTTTACAATTTTACTTAACTATTCCCCCCACCCCACCTCTCACCCTCCTGAAATCTCCACCATGATATGTATAAATTTACTCTGTTGTTCTATCTTGTATTTTGTCTTTAATCCACCCTTGTTTCCAAGCGAAATTTGAACTCCACCCCTTGTCCAATTACCATATAAACAGTTACTTATTCAACACTAAATAATTGTCTACTTACATCATCTTTGAAATTATGTTGCTTATAATTTCTATCTATAACTTGAAATCATTATAAAAAAAGTATGTTGAGACACCATTTTGTAACATATAATTGATTTTCTTGTTTAGGATGCACACAGTTGAAGAGAATCCACGAGGCGAAACGAGCTCGTATTACCGAAAACTGCAAATATGCGTTCGTTCTTTCTTTATTCAAGCTAATGAAAGGAACCGGGTGTATGGAATATCATAAGCCCTCAGACAATAAGTGTGTAACTCTTAACGTGGTATAGGAAAAATGTTTTCTAGGAAATTGAGTTTAAAGAAGAAAATAAATAGAACAGCCTTTTAAAACACAACTGATAAAAAGTGTATCAGAGTAAATGAGTTGAACTCATTCCTTATTCTCAATTTGTTAAAGTTGATGGTTACAACCCTCTCTATATACTTAATTATTTTTTTTATCATTTTCACTTTTTCTTTATATATAGACAAATATTTAAACAATTTCTTACTAATCGAATCCTTAAAAATCCACGTCAACAACGTTTTTTTAAAACGAATGATCTTCAAGAGTTATTAAGCTTTGAAGGGAGCGATACAGATATGCAAGATAATTGTGAAACAACTTTATATCTACAATCAGAAGGTATGGGACATACAGTAACTGATAATTATTCGTCATCATCGTCAACAACAACAACACCATCTAATCGATTTGATAGACTTGCACAAAAACAAAAAGATAAATCATCACAACAGAAGAAGCATTGTGATTTGGATAGAGAAGACAGTAGCAGTGATGGCGATGATGATGATGATGATGCTAATGCTGATGAAGACGACACAATGGAGGCTAATCAAGAGAAGAGTACAAAAAGAAGAAAAATAACAGATGACAGTGTAAAGTGTAGTTCATCTGAGAATACCGATCCACAAGATGAGCGTAGAATTCAACTTCGAAAGCTTGCCAAAGAAATAAGCCGTCGTATATCTGAAGGATGCTTGGATAAAAACGATCCAGTTGAATTTACTTCACCTGATAATAACAACAATAATAATAATAATAATAGGCAGACTAAGCAGAAATCTTCAAGTCGACATTATAAGCGTAAAAGTGATAATACTTAAAGGTGTCAGAGTGGATGGGAAAAGAATTAAACTTGTCGCAAAACAGTGTAAATATGATGTCGGTGATGGCGTTGATATTTCCATATCTCGGAATGATCATAAACTTGGTAATTTAGATAAAAATATAAACACTGGTCTTGAAAAAGATGATGATTTTATTAGAACTGTTCTAACAGGCGCCTCTTCCTCTTCTTCGTATGGAAATGAAACAGACAGCAATCTGTTAACTGCTTCACTTGCAAAGAAGAGATCAGTTGTAGATCAAGATATACGTGAAGAAGCGAATCGGATTGCTAATGAAGCCTTGAAAAATATTCAGAGATTTTATAAACCTAGTAGGACAAAGTCTGAAGAATCAACTGAGAAAAACAAAGGTGAGTTTTGTTTATATATTGTTTTTCCCCCATCAGATTGTGATTCCATAAGTGATTGCTTGATAAACATACTGCTGTACTAGTAGACACACTTAGACGACAAATCCACATGCAACTTCACAGAATTATTGGTTTCCATGAGTTCTTCTCATACAAATTCATCAGCATAGTAAAAAATCTTCGAAGTGTTGAACTGTGAAATCGTATCATATTTAGGACAATTCTGTACATTTAGTCTGATTTAAATTGACACCTTAAACTGTGCAATGTGTTAATGATAAATATGATTCTGTCTGTTACTGGCTCGCTCAGGCAGCTATCCAGGATTCACGTGATCTGAATTGATTCAGCCTTCTCGTCTGAGTCTAACTCGTGTACACACACACACACACACAAACTATCTATGTGTGCAGCTGCAACACTAACGAAACGACTGTCCGGTGTATAAACCACTTCAATCTACCCCGCATGCTATATTTCAAATTCGAAAACATAGTTGCGAATTTGTCTCAGCTGTAAAGCTCCACTTCTTTTAAGATTGTTCATAAATCCAAATTTTCAGATCACTTCCCTCTATTTTTTTTCAAAAGAATTATGTCTACAAGCCATGAGAGCCATGTCTTTCTTGTGCGACGGGTATCCAGTAATTTTGAATTTTCTGTTGATTGATTGGACCGAAGTGCTTGGCCTCAGGTTGACATGTCGGCTCCTTGTACAGGTGATTCAAGGATGTCTGATTATTTAACTTGAAGTAAATTTGTGGTTATTGACTAGCAATAGAATCCAGGATGCATATTTCGTCCTATTCGAGGCCAGGCAATTCGGTCCGATAAATCAACCGGAAAGTCCAAATTTGATATATATATAATATATTATATATATATATATATATATATATAACTCATTCTCCACATGTGCGTCGGTGGCATAGCGATTAGGACGCTCGCCGACCATGCATATGGTCCGGGGTTCGATCCCCGGCCGACGCACTCCTTTACTTCACTAAGCCAGAAATAATGCTGGTGAAGAGGAAAGGTTGAGAATGAGGCTAGCAACCCCATCCTGTAAAATAAACACTGCTACAGAAACTTCAAGCCACTAGCTTGAAGCCCTATGTTCCACTGGGGAACGTGAAGGAAAAAAAATTTTCCACATGTACTTTTACATGTCCGGTTTTATTTCTCTTACCCTACTTATGACCTTTGATGTCCTATTGGTTGTTGACTGTTTTAATTTATCAGTGTGATTAGCGTCTCTCAACATCACTTAAAGTATATGTATACGCAAGCGATATCAACCACTTTCGCTATTGATATGAGACAGTAAGAGCTCTCCACGCCACGTCAACAGTATGTCTTCTCGTCTTGTTTCTTTGCGTCGCGTTTCCGGTGGTATCGTATCGCGGTGTTGTTGTTAATATTGGTTAGAACAATAGACTTGCGAATCGGTGCGTCGGTGGCACAGTGGTTAGGACTCTCGCCAACCATGCACATGGTCCGAGGTTCGATCCCCTTCCGACGCACACCCGATATCTATGGTCGGCCTGCAAAATTTGGGCTACCGATATCCACGCTGAAAATGCCATACTTGTACTGAAAATACGGTGTGGCATCAAGCTGTAACCAAAAATAGAAAAAAAATAGAATAGAAAATAGATAGGAATTTCATTCATGCAACTACAAGTGTATTAATGGTCTTATCAAAATTGAATTAGCATCTACACGGTTGTATACTGATCCTTGCTATTGAATAGCAAGGAGTAGTAGTAAATTTAAACTAAATATCTTGAAAGAAGTTGGACTAACAGAGCTATTTCATAACGTTTTTTTACATATATTTTGTCCTAACTGAATATACAATTAGAAATACTCCCATACATTTTCAATTTATGCACTTGTTATTCAATGTTTGTGATACTAGAAAACGTCAGAAAAGCAAATCATAAAGAATCATTGAAAAAAAGTCATTCAAATCATCTGTCTTCAACTGATAAATCATCTAAACTAAAAGAAATCAAATCCCACAATAGTTCACCTTTCCTAAGTCATATAACTCAAATAGTTCAACATGATCAATTATTAGACGAAATGACAAATCCAAATCATATTGATGTATCGTTCAGTCAAATAGAAGCGAATCGGCTGGCCAGTGATGCAATTAAAGCTTTACAAGAAGAAGTAATTAACTGGCAACGACAACAGTCTAACCGCTCTTCCTCTTCTACTCAGAATACTGAACACAAGGTTACTTATCCATTCGGTCAGGCTAAAAATCGTTTTCTTTGGAATCCAAATGAATCGACGAGTTCGAGTTATGTGAGTTTTTCTTGTTAAAAAATACCAGTTCATCATACTGCTTTATTATTTCATATATTTATTGACAAAATAGGGATTTTCGACAGATTGTAACGATCTACAACTAAGTGAAATAGTGATTATATTTGACTAGAACACCTGTCTGTCCATCCTGCCTAATGACTTTCAAATATTTCCTTTAAAAGTGGAAGAACCCGACACATAGCTGCTTTTTTGACGTGGTGGTCAGACTTGCATATCTCAATCACACAACAAGCTGCACTAACTAGATAGAACAAATGTTCCCACAGGTCCTAACATGTCAGAAAGATTGTTTGGATAGCAATTAGACTAAAAACAGTCATTCGTCTACACTATGTCGACGATCTGTGTGTGTGTGAAGTTGTAGTGATGGCGAATTGGGAATGTAACAGTAGCACGTGAGGTGTTCCTCTCGGATGACCGTCAAACCAGCTAGCTAAGCTATCCCTTTTTGCCCTGTGAAGAGTGAGTTATAAAAGGTCAACTCCAGAAATTGTACACCCAGACTAGTCTTCTTGAGGCCCATAGCTGAGATAATAAAGATACAAACAACTCCAGAAACCAAGAAGCAATTCACTTCCACCCTGTGGGCAACTGGCAAGTAATGACTGTCCACACACTTCTTTAAGCATACAAAGCCTTTTACTGATTATCGCCCACCTTCTACTGTTAACATCATTCCAAATATAGATTCCAGACGTTCTCGTAACGCCTAAGATGTCTAATATCGGTGAGCAAAGTCTGCTTTGTATAAAATTCACCCAAAATTGCAGACTTTATGATCCCTTTGTTGGATCTGGAGTCTACAAAATAGCTTCATTACTGTGGGTGGGGAGGCGTGGTGGTGCATTTCTTTAGATTTATCTTAGTATAATCTATTGACATTATGATGCTTATCATACGAAGAGATGCTGTTGTTGATGATGATGATGAAGCATAAAACAGTTTCCTAACATCACTGTTCATTTCGTTTCACTACTATTGTTTTCTTTTAGTTACAGCTTTTACAATTATCAGGTGAATCAGAAGATACAAATGAAAAGTGGCATTATGAAAATTCAGCTAGATCTCATGTTCGATTCAGTTCAGAGCTATTGTTCAGTCTTATTCGTTTACGCAAAATTTCCCGTCAATGTCATGCATACAATTCAACCGATCAGAAATCAGTTAACGCTATGCTGAATCAATCAATGCAACGTCTTTGTGCTGAAATTATTCGCATACTTAGTACTTCTCCATGTGTTACTAGTGAATACTTGACAGTTCGATTTGCAAATATTTTAAATAAGAATAATAATAATGATAATTCAGAAGACTGTAAGAAAGGCTTACAACAAAACGGTATGAACAGTGTTTCAAACAGAACTGCTACTATAACTGCACAACATTTTCGTGCACTGCTTAAACAATTAGCTGTTAGACATCGAGCGAAAAAACAAAATCATCCATCAGATAAGCCTTCACGTGGTCGTCTAGATGATATTTGGATATTACGTGATAAATTTCGACCAGTCGCCAGCTACCTGTTTCTGCATCTGGCATCGGTTGAAAGACTGGATCAATGTGCTACTATTGATATTACTACTACTAGTACTAGTACTAGTAGTAGTAGTAGTAGTAGGAGTAATAGTTATACTAACATTTTTCAGCAAATGTATCAATGACACATGTGCATATCCCTATCCTGTACCTACACCTATTTTGTATATATTCTCTCATGACAAATTGTATAGAAGATGATTAAATTTTTTTTAATTCGTAGATTTTATTCTGAAATATAATGCTTCTTCCATATTTTTGTTTCACTTTTATGTATTAACTACCATTCATTCTCTTCAGTTTATTGTGATAAGTCAGCTTCCATCGTGTATTTCGGTCTAAAACATTAGGCAGTATGTAGGTTGAATGGATATTATCGCCTGAGTATTCAGACCTAATGCTTGAAGCCTCCTGATAACACCTCTCAGGAAACTTCACAATTATGCAGGTATACTCCATACTCATACTATCGTAAACCAAAAGGATGTAATAAAAAAACAATTCTCAGGTTCCGATTAGTCGACTTCTTGAAAACTATTCCAAATGGTTAAAGACACCTGAAGCCTCTGCAATCTAATGAACTGATCTGTTGATTTAACAAGATCTGATTAAAGCCACCATATTAATAATGACAAAATCAAAGAGAGGGCGGGAAATTTCTATTGACGTACTTAACCTATGATTCCTTGTAAATAATAAATTAATTAAGCAATATATAAGCATCCTATTGTTATTCAACAAAATGCATTACTACATATTATCAGCGAAAAAACCACAAAACAGTTCCTAGAGAAAGATCATTAATCAGCGCGCTCAACCAAAATAAAATATACCGCCAAATAAGCCACTCATATCCTACCATCAGGATGTAGGTTCTCCAAAGTAATTTCGCTCCAGACTCGTAGAAACTTGTGGAGAGATTGCCCATCATACGTCTCCTGTAACCTTAGAATAATTTGAATGCTATCAAACTTGATCTTGTGATCTGATAATATAGCATGTAGAGCCTAAGGCGGGCATCTTCCCTGCATTTCGATCTACGAGTTTTCTTGTAAGTCGGTTGGCTGCCCGTGAGGTATTCACTGATTCTAAGCTTCATTTGACGAGAGGTTTGTCCCACATATATCGCATCGCATCGCATCGCCTTGTGCACATTTTATTACATAAAGGCAACTAAGTGATGAGTCGTGTGCAGTTTCGACACTGGCGAATTGCATTCCAGGCATGCTAAGATTTCTGCTCAATTTACTCACAAGACTCTGCACTTCGTCAGACTCCTCATCTGGGACGAGTATATCGTCTGCATACTCTAAGCTGACGAGACTTTTCCCTGACAACTAACTAGTCAGTAATCCCTAAGTCACCGAAGTCGATCACGATCACATGGATTAGTACAGCTATGATGAAGTTGAATAGAAGTGGAGACACTGGCCAGCCACGAAGGACACCACTGGTTGTCATTCATAACTTCACATGACAACTCTCCATTAGCTCTTACACGGCTGGATGAGTTCGAGTAGACCGAGTGAGTGAGTGGGTTGGTTGGTTGCTTGGTGCGATATACTCTCTCGTCACTGCCTTCACGGCCAGACATTACCACAGTACCTCTCGGTCGACGGAGTGGAATGACGCCTTTAGATGAAGGAATATGTCAAGCGTTGGGCGCCAATACGTGTGACTGTGTTGCAGAAGCTGTCGATGAGCGAAGAAGATATGATCGATACACCATCGTTCGTGCCTAAAGCCTGCCTGGTCTGACTGCCTAGCTAGCTGGCTGGCTGGCTACCTGCCTAGCTGCCATACTGGCTTTCACGGGTTTGTCTCTCCCGAGTTCCCTTTAGTCTGCTAATCAGGATTATGCAAGCCAGAATTTCAGATGCTATGTCATTCAAGCTGATCCTCCTTTGATTGTTATCGCAGACAGACTTGTCTCCTTTCCCATAAACTTCCATGATCAACGATTTTCACCAGTCCAGTGGGACTATCTCAGATTCCCACACATTACTACCTGGTTGATATCTTTGTTAACCTAGTCACTGATTCATCGCCACCATCCTGAATCACCTCTGAAGTCGTACCACCTGATCGTGAGTGATCCCATGCTAACAGTTGGAGTAAACTGATGCTAATTCAGTCCTAGATTCGCTGACATATCAGAGTGCATGAATACTGCACAGCGGTTCACCCTCTCCTAATCTATGAGTAGGCGGACACTGGGTGAAGGTAGACAACATGAAAACGGTAAACATTCGTAAACAAAAGTGTCTTTGTTCAGTTCTTCGTGTTGGATGAGAACTGTCGACATTTGATGTAGATTACTAGGTAGAGGAAGTGATTGAATCGATGAAGTTGCGAAGTTCCATCGATCGAGACATTGTTGCAGATGTCGAGGAATCACTCTCCTCGAAGAGGAATGTTGACATAAATGAGATTAGATTGGGGCAGTGTATGTGAGACCAGACCGAAGTTTACGCACATTCACTTGACCGAGATACTTTCGCATAATCAAGTAGCTGAATAAATTAATATAATAATAATAATTTGCTTTATTCCAAAAGAGTACATGTGATACAGAATGGAATTCTCAGCATTTTTACTACAGTATTGCATCCAGTTAGTACATTATCAATAAATAGAATTCTACATAGATTAAGGAAATCTCAGTTCATTATTACAACAACACATTGGCATGTCGGTAGCAAAGGTAAAGCTGAACAGTGTTTGAAGGTGTTAGAAAAAGTAGGAGCTGTCATATTTACTGGCGTAAGCGAGAGAAAGAAACAAAGCAGCACATAACGGAAGAAAAGAAAAGAGAGAGAGAGAAAAGGAAAAGAAAGAAAGAAAATGTTGTACCTATAAATGATATGAGTTGGAAAGACGAGATCCAGTTGTACTACTGACTATTTAATGAATTATAGGTGTCACGCCTAATGCTTTCTTTATCACACAGAACACGAGCTAAGTAGGGTATGGTTGAGTTTTTGTACTTGCTGGTGCGAGCATATAGTTTTCTATATAAGCTTCTGGTTTTACCTGATGAGATGCAAGGGGAGAGTTGTGAGTGAAGAGGGTGGTGTGAGTTAGATAAAATGGATTTGGCCCATTTTTCACATGAGTCCATGTGCCTGTCGACCAGAATATTAACAAGCTGGTTAAGTGGCACGTTGCTTACCCTGCTGACAACCTTTAACATCCTGCGTAATATGTTATAGTCTTTCTTCAGTAGCCCGGGAAAAACTAAGGGGGGAACAATAGAGAATAATAGGCAGAATGCGAGAGTTAACGAATTGTAGGAGTAAGGGTTGGGTTATACCAGAATGTTTTAACTTCTTGATGTAGAAGGTAAGACGGAATATTTTCTTAGAAATCGCCAAGATATGAGACGACCAGGAGAGATCAGCAGATAGAATGACGCCTAGGTATTTAATTTCCGATTTGGTTTCTATTTCAGTGCCGTCTATGTTGCATACCTCGTGAGAGCCAACCAGTTTGTTTAGGTCGGATTTATGCCTAAAGGTGAAATTGACTGTTTGGCATTTGGAGGGGTTTAGGGTAAGACCATTTTCCTTGGACCACTGGCTGATTTCTGACAGAAAGCAATTAAGTTTAGAGCAGTCGCTTTGACATTTGACAGGCAAAGATACTGTCAGGTCGTCAGCATATTTGACAAAATTAATGTCATTTGAAGATGGTAAGTCATGTAGAAAGAAAGAAAAGAGAAGTGGTGAGAGTACAACACCTTGGGGGACACCGGCTTCAGTGAGTACAGCAGAGGATGATTTACCTTTGTATACGGTGTACTGCATTCTGTTAGAGAAGTAGGAATGCAACCAGTTAGTGACCCAGGACTCAGTTTTTGTCAAAGAGAGCTTATTTAGGAGGAGACATCTAGGTACAGAGTCAAAAGCAGAAGTGAAGTCGAGAAACGTGCAGCGGACGTATTTGGCACCTTTATCTAATGATGAGACGATGTTGTTGTGTAAGACGGCTGCAGCGTCTAAAGTGCTCCTACCCTGTCTATAGGCAAATTGTTTGGGGTCTTCAAAGTTTTTAAGGGAGGGTTCAAGTTTAAGAAGTATCAGTTTTTCCATAAGCTTTAGAAACGGGGAAGTGATGGCAATGGGTCTGAACTTTACGTTCTTGCCGTTTCCAGGTTTAGGGATAGGGACAATTTTAATGTCTTTCCATGCATCAGGTACGACATTTTTGGAGAAAGAAGCATTTAGGATGTTGGCTAGTGGAGAACACAAAGCATCTGCACATTGTTTTAGAACATATGCAGGTATACCATCAGGGCCAAGGCTACGTGAGGGCTTGAGCGTTTTAAGACATTTTACAACATCGAGAGTATTAAAGTCATGAAAGTTTTCAGCTACATGATAGGTAACATTAGAAGTAGTTAAAGTAGAAGGACAGCGTATAAAAGACTGATTAAGAGCATTAATATCATAAGAGGGAAAAGCATTACAACGCTTACTATTGCCAGTAATTTCATTAAAATTTCCACATGCTGATAGGAGATTTGCAAGATAAAAGTGTATCATTGTAGATAGCATTAAGACTTTTGATTTCAGATTTGATTTGAGCATTAATCTTTTTGAGTCCTAACTTGTCTTTGGATTTGTATAATGTTTCTTTTTGCCTGCGTGTGGGTGTAACTCTCATCACGTGTGTTGATAATATCGGCTTTTCGTTGTGGATTGGAAGCGAGTCAAGGTGTCTTGTTCTCTCATTCCTGTTTGGGTAATTTCGATCCAAACTTGTAGGAAATTGTGGAGAGATCGACCATCATACGTCTCCTGTAACCTTAGAATAATTTGAATGCTATCAAACTTGATCTTGTGATCTGATAATATAGCATGTAGAGCCTAAGGCGGGCATCTTTCCTGAATTTCGATCTACGAGTTTTCTTGTAAGTCGGTTGGCTGCCCGTGAGGTATTCACTGATTCTAAGCTTCATTTCACGAGAGGTTTGTCCCACATATATCGCATCGCATCGCATCGCCTTGTGCACATTTTATTACATAAAGGCAACTAAGTGATGAGTCGTGTGCAGTTTCGACACTGGTGAATTGTATTCCAGGCATGCTAAGATTTCTGCTCAATTTACTCACAAGACTCTGCA